GTGACAGTGTGTATGTGTGTCTATGAGTGTGTATGTGACAGTGTGTATGTGTGTCTATGAGCGTGTATATGACAGTGTGTATATGTGTCTATGAGTGTGTATGTGACAGTGTGTATGTGTGTCTATGAGTGTGTATGTGACAGTGTGTATGTGTGTCTATGAGCGTGTATATGACAGTGTGTATATGTGTCTATGAGTGTGTATGTGACAGTGTGTATGTGTGTCTATGAGTGTGTATGTGACAGTGTGTACGTAGAACTCACCCCCGCCCGTTCTCCCCGGGGGTACAGGTGGCGCAGTTCTCTTGGGACTCTTGGCCCGACGTCTCACCACAGCCGCCACTTCCTGTCCCACACTGGTCGCTGTGGCATCCTTCAGCGATGCTGTTGTAGCTGACGATGGTGCCGCGGTGGTGGCGGTGGTGGCGGGTCTGTCCGGTGGGGGGAGGGAGGGTTTGGGGGCGGTGAACGGCTTGTTGCTGCCACTAGGTGCGCCTTCTGGCGGCTCGCTGTGCTTCGACGCGGCGTGCCGCGAGGCAGGGGGAGAAAACTTGGCGGTGGCGCGTCGCAGAATCATCTTGGGGCTTGCCAGGCCTTTGCTGGACTTCCTGTGGGAGGCGGGGCTGGAGGTCGCGGTGCCAGGCCCAGATTTTCCCCCACAGTTGTCCACACTGGACTCGGCCTCCGACGCAGGAAAAACTTTGCCCAGATGTGGCGGGGGCGTGTCGGGCGCGCTGTCACCCCCCGCGGACACATCCTCGGTGACCTTGGCGGGACTGGAGGTCGTGGCGGGGATGAGGAGAACCTTGGCCTGTGGGGAAGACTTGGGCGCGGCGCGGTGGTCGACGGATGAGGAGTCTGTGTCCTCCTCCAGGGAGTCGGTGCGCGGCCCGCCGCCTTCCCTCACCTCTGACTTGGCCGTCAGTTGTATGTCCGGGTTCAGGGACTCGAAACTCTCCGAAGACTCTTTGCCCCGGCGCAGGAAGCTCTTGAAGAAGGAAGTGATGCCCTTTTTGGCCTTGCCCCCCTCCCCGTTAGCGCGCGGTCCTGGCGACTCCGGGCCGTCGGCCAACACAAAGTCCTCGAGGCCGGCCGGGGCCGTCGATGGCTTGTTGGCCAGGTCTGTGAGGGCCGGCACCGACACGATGGACTTGCCAACTGGCACCATCTTGAACACAGGTTCCGGCTGATTGGCTTGTTTCTTGGGGGAGACGCC